CAAGTCAATTAGCAAAAGCCAAGCACTACACAGTCTTTCTGGGGTCAAAGCACAGTGGGGAACTGCCCTGCGGGGGCAAAGAGCAGCCCAGGACAATGGCTAGCTGAATCTGGGGCCTGTCTAAGGGAGAGTCAGGGGTGGCGCTGCCATCTTGTGCCTGAACAACATTCCAGGATGGAGTTACTGATTCCTTGGTCTCCAGTGGTGCCAGCCTTCACCCAACACATGTGGGAGAGCCCTGCTGGGTGTTCAGATAGGAAGTTGTCCTCCTGTTGTCCATACTGGGTAGATAAAAGGGACTTTGGTCCCCAGGGCTCTCAGACTGGCACCTTTCCCCACCAGCATGGAACTTCCAGACCAGAAACAGCAGCAGTGTGACACTGTTGCAAAAAAAGCAAACATGATTCTGGGATGCATTAACAGGAGTGTTGTGAGCAAGACACAAGAAGTCATTCTTCTGTTCTACTCTGCGCTAGTTAGGCCTCAGTTGGAGTATTATGTCCAGTTCTGGGCACCCCATTTCAAGAAAGATGTGGAGAAATTGGAGAAGGTCCAGAGAAGAGCAACAAGAATGATGGCAGGTCTAGAGAACATGAGCTATGAGGGAAGAGTGAAAGAATTGGGCTTGTTTAGTTTGGAAAGGAGAAGACTGAGAGGGGACACGAGAGCGATCTTCGGGTATCTACAAGGGTGTCACAAGGACGAGGGAGACAATTTGTTCTCCTTGGTCTCTGAGGATAGGACATGAAGCAATGGGTTTAAATTGCAGCAAGGGAGGTGTAGGCTGGACATTAGGAAAAAGCATAAGTCAGGGTGGTTAAACACTGGAATAAATTGCCTTGGGAGGTTGTGGAATCTCCATCTCTGGAGATATGTAAGGCAGGTTAGACAGACATCTATCAGGGATGGAAGATGGTGCTGGGTCCTGGTGGTGGTGGGTCCTGGGTCCCATGGTGAGGGCAGAGGACTGGACTCGATGACCTCTTGAGGTCCCTTCCAGTTTTAGTGTTCTAGGATTCTGAGATTCCTTCATATGAGGCAGCTCTGCTGCAGCAAACATTGGAATGTCCCACCACCCAGGCCCTGCAGGTCTTGCAGAGGGGCTGGGACTCGCCTGCGTAGAGAGGCAGGGCTCAACAGTCTCCAGCAGACTGGGTGCCCAGGATCACTCCAACCTGTCCCCTAGGACCAGCAATCCCAGCATCCCTGGGGGGAAGCTCAGCACGTTTCTGGAGGAAGATTTGCGAGGAGGCGAACAGGGCCCTTTTAATGACAGGCTGCTTATCAACTATTCTGTTTCTTGCACTCTTTAGAGGATGAAATCCCAGCTCCTCAGCAGCACCGTTTCTCTTGGCCGCAAGTGCCACATACATAATCATCCCGTGTGCTTCTGTGGCGTGTTTCATCTTCAAAGCACTTCGCAAACATTCCCAAATGAATTAAACATGTCCCCTGTTTACTATGGGCAGGACCTGTTTTTTTAGCAAGGGATTTTCCATCCCCTTGGTGGGTGCCCCTGGAAATCTCTGCCAGTGCCACGGCTATGGATGGGGTTTTGAGAGGGTCCTTGGCACTCAGCAGCTGACGTCCGTCCGGGTAGTCCTCAGCTGTTGCCAGGTCAAATTCCCTGGAGATGCCTGACCTTTGCTCAAGCTATTGAAACACCTTTACTGCCTTCAGGCAGAGGAAAGGGAACATGTGTGTGTCTGTGCACACACGTCTATTGATTTGTGAGGGGGGGGGTGTCTCCTTGGTGAGTGTGCCCATGAGTGTACAAAAGTGTATGCACCCAGCTGTAAGCACTAGTCTACTTGTGCATGTACCACTAGATCAGGGGTGGGGAACCGTTTTTGAGTTGCAGACCACTGACCCACAGAAAATTCAGTTAGGGGTACACACAAGTGAGAAGCAAAGAATTTTTTTGTAAAAACCACGGGGGGGAGGAGAAGGCTTATAGACTGTGTGCTCCCACATTCCCCTCACACACTGGAGCCTGGGGGGGGAGGAGAAGGCTTATAGACTGTGTGCTCCCACATTCCCCTCACACACTGGAGCCTGGGGGGGGAGGAGAAGGCTTATAGACTGTGTGCTCCCACATTCCCCTCACACACTGGAGCCTGGGGGGGGAGGAGAAGGCTTATAGACTGTGTGCTCCCACATTCCCCTCACACACTGGAGCCTGGGGGGGGAGGAGAAGGCTTATAGACTGTGTGCTCCCACATTCCCCTCACACACTGGAGCCTGGGGGGGGAGGAGAAGGCTTATAGACTGTGTGCTCCCACATTCCCCTCACACACTGGAGCCTGGGGGGGGAGGAGAAGGCTTATAGACTGTGTGCTCCCACATTCCCCTCACACACCGGAGCCTGGTGGGAGGAGCAGGCTAATAGACTGTGTGCTTCAGCCCTGTGGGGGGAATAGCTGGGGGATTGGAGCATCACCATGGAATCCCCAATGCTGGGGGGAACCCAGAGACTCCAGAGCCAGATCCAGGCAATCCATCGGGGGGGAAGGGTGGGTTGCCTTTGCAGTCCCTTCTCACCCAGGGGATGCAGGGAGGGCCGGAGAGCTGTAAGATCAGGGAGCGGTGGAAGCAGGCAGCAGGGTGTAAGGGACCAGGGGCGCAGGGTAGACCAGGAGCGGTGTAAGATCAGGGAGTGGTGCAAGGGACGAGGGGCGCAGGGTAGACTAGGAGGGGTGTAAGATCAGGGAGCAGTGAAAGCAGGCAGCAGGGTGAAAGGGACCAGGGGCGCAGGGGAGACCAGGAGCGGTGTAAGATCAGGGAGTGGTGCAAGGGATGAGGGGTGCAGGGTAGACTATGAGGGGTGTAAGATCAGGGAGTGGTGCAAGGGACGAGGGGCGCAGGGTAGACTAGGAGGGGTGTAAGATCAGGGAGCAGTGAAAGCAGGCAGCAGGGTGCAAGGGACCAGGGGCGGTGTAAGATCAGGGAGCGGTGGAAGCAGGCAGCAGGGTGCAAGGGACCAGAGGCGCAGGGGAGACCAGGAGCGGTGTAAGATCAGGGAGCGGTGGAAGCAGGCAGCAGGGTGCAAGGGACCAGAGGCGCAGGGGAGACCAGGAGCGGTGTAAGATCAGGGAGCGGTGGAAGCAGGCAGCAGGGTGCAAGGGACCAGAGGCGCAGGGGAGACCAGGAGCGGTGTAAGATCAGGGAGCGGTGGAAGCAGGCAGCAGGGTGCAAGGGACCAGAGGCGCAGGGGAGACCAGGAGCGGTGTAAGATCAGGGAGCGGTGGAAGCAGGCAGCAGGGTGCAAGGGACCAGAGGCGCAGGGGAGACCAGGAGCGGTGTAAGATCAGGGAGCGGTGGAAGCAGGCAGCAGGGTGCAAGGGACCAGAGGCGCAGGGGAGACCAGGAGCGGTGTAAGATCAGGGAGAGGTGGAAGCAGGCAGCAGGGTACAAGGGACCAGGGGCGGTGTAAGATCAGGGAGCGGTGGAAGCAGGCAGCAGGGTGCAAGGGACCAGAGGCGCAGGGGAGACCAGGAGGGGTGGAAGATCAGGGAGCGGTGGAAGCAGGCAGCAGGGTGCAAGGGACCAGAGGCGCAGGGGAGACCAGGAGGGGTGGAAGATCAGGGAGCGGTGGAAGCAGGCAGCAGGGTGCAAGGGACCAGAGGCGCAGGGGAGACCAGGAGGGGTGGAAGATCAGGGAGCGGTGGAAGCAGGCAGCAGGGTGCAAGGGACCAGAGGCGCAGGGGAGACCAGGAGGGGTGGAAGATCAGGGAGCGGTGGAAGCAGGCAGCAGGGTGCAAGGGACCAGAGGCGCAGGGGAGACCAGGAGGGGTGGAAGATCAGGGAGCGGTGGAAGCAGGCAGCAGGGTGCAAGGGACCAGAGGCGCAGGGGAGACCAGGAGGGGTGGAAGATCAGGGAGCGGTGGAAGCAGGCAGCAGGGTGCAAGGGACCAGAGGCGCAGGGGAGACCAGGAGGGGTGGAAGATCAGGGAGCGGTGGAAGCAGGCAGCAGGGTGCAAGGGACCAGAGGCGCAGGGGAGACCAGGAGGGGTGGAAGATCAGGGAGCGGTGGAAGCAGGCAGCAGGGTGCAAGGGACCAGAGGCGCAGGGGAGACCAGGAGGGGTGGAAGATCAGGGAGCGGTGGAAGCAGGCAGCAGGGTGCAAGGGACCAGAGGCGCAGGGGAGACCAGGAGGGGTGGAAGATCAGGGAGCGGTGGAAGCAGGCAGCAGGGTGCAAGGGACCAGAGGCGCAGGGGAGACCAGGAGGGGTGGAAGATCAGGGAGCGGTGGAAGCAGGCAGCAGGGTGCAAGGGACCAGAGGCGCAGGGGAGACCAGGAGGGGTGGAAGATCAGGGAGCGGTGGAAGCAGGCAGCAGGGTGCAAGGGACCAGAGGCGCAGGGGAGACCAGGAGGGGTGGAAGATCAGGGAGCGGTGGAAGCAGGCAGCAGGGTGCAAGGGACCAGAGGCGCAGGGGAGACCAGGAGGGGTGGAAGATCAGGGAGCGGTGGAAGCAGGCAGCAGGGTGCAAGGGACCAGAGGCGCAGGGGAGACCAGGAGGGGTGGAAGATCAGGGAGCGGTGGAAGCAGGCAGCAGGGTGCAAGGGGCCAGGGGCGCAGGGGAGACCAGGAGGGGTGGAAGCTCCAGCGGGGTCTCCCGTTCCCGGCCAGAGCGCAGAGGGGAGGTGGGACCCAGACGGGCTGAGCTGCAGGCCCCGCGCCTTTAAGGCGGCCCCCGCCCCTGGGGGAGGTTCCGGCGGGCGCGCCCCCCCCCCG